CACGAGGGGCCCACTGACCCAACCGCCCTTCTAAAGTAACTTTTTGTATCAAAATAATACACGGATCCCGATGTATGAATAAATAAGTTACTATAAATAGGTAACCATTGCATCTGTAAGGGGATCCGATTCGGAACCCAACAATTTGACGATGAAACACGAAACAGCCCATAAAGGCTTTTCACCTCGGTCCACCTCGGACCAGGGCCACTGTTGAGTTTTTCTTGGATGATTTACGTTCAAACCACTTGAAATCATCTCATAACCTCCACCTTAAATCGTTGTTAAGAATCATACAACAACACTCCTCAATCAAGATATTTCCAGTAAAAAGATGCAAGGGATCAGAATTTGTAGAGAAGACCCTTTGATTTCTCATTTAATCTTTGCGGATGATGCATTGCTTTTATGTGACACTTCTTCTAGCTCTATTCAGAGTATACTGCAAATTTTAAAAGACTACTGTAAAGCATCAGGCCAAATGGTTAATTTTGATAAATCCTCATGCTTCTTCAGCAAAAATTGTGATTCAGATACAAGAAGTATGGTGTGCAGAAGTCTTCGTATGCAAGAACAGAAAAGAGGCAAATATCTCGGACTTCCAACGGTGATTGGGAAATCAAAAAAGGAAGTGTTCCAATTTGTTGAAGAAGTAACTCATTCAAAGATCTTGAACTGGAAAGGTAAATTCCTAAGTGCTGCTGGTAAGGAGACCTTAATCAAATCAGTCATTAACTCTCTGCCGGTTTACATCATGTCATGTTTCAAAATTCCAAAGGCGGTTTGTGATAACATTAACAACAAAGCTAGGACTTTTTTGTGGGGAAGAGCTGAGGAAGGTTATAAAAAACTAGCTTGGGTAAGTTGGGAGAAGATGTGTGCTACAAAAAATCAAGGTGGTCTGGGATTCAGGAATCTTGAAGTTTTTAGTGTTGCTCTACTAGCCAAACAGCTACTATGGCGCCTTATTATCAAACCTAATTTGTTGATGAGCCAGATAACGAAAGCAAAATACTTCCCTACTGGTGGCATTCTTAATGCTAGAATCAAACAACAGGACTCTTGGATCTGGAAGAGTTGGGCAAAATCTAGGGAGGCACTATCTATTGGCTTAAGGATGAAAGTTGGGGATGGAAAGAATATCAGGATCTGGGAAGCCCCGTGGGTTCCTAATCTGGTAAAATTCAAGCCTAAAGGAAAATTTAGCAGAGCTTCTAAAATTGAGTGGGTGAGTGAATTGCTTTTGGAGAACAAAAAAGAATAGAGTACCCCATTGATTCAAAGATTATTCACAGATCAAGAGGCCACTGAAATCCTTAACATTACTCTTGTGGATTCTGAAAATAGGGACATGTTCTTTTGGGAGAAGGAAAAAAGTGCATTTTTTTCCGTTAAATCCTGTTATAATGCAATATTGGATAGGAAGAAGATGGTGATTGCAACCTCAGAGAGTAGCACAGGTGCAACTACCAAGAGGAAAATGTGGAAAACAACTTGGAGTCTCCAGTTAAAACCTAAAATCAATGTTTTCCTATGGAGATGTATTCATAATTCTCTCCCTGTGGCTGAAAAGTTGCTTATCAAAGGCATTATTTCATCACCTCTGTGTTGCTTCTGTGGGGAAATAGCTGAAAACGAAAACCATATTTTCTTCAATTGTGAGAGGGCACAACTTGTCTGGAAATTATCCCCAATTTTCTGGGATAATGCCAAGATCAGAACAGATGGTTTTTGTGGATGGTGGTCTGACATTTGCAATGCAAGACAAGTAGAATGTTGGGAAGACAGATTGGAACTCTCTGTCTAGCTTTTATGGTGGTTATGGAGAACAAGAAACCTGTGGCTTTTTGAAAAATCTCTTATATCAGAAATTGACATAGTGGAGAAAGCTAGAATAGAATGGATGGAATTCAAAATGTTCACTCAGTGACAGTATCTTCTCTTTGCAATTCAGATGTTGTTGATAACACAGTAGGGCAAATCATTATATTTGTCAGTGCTAGTGTTGTTCCAGGGGTTGGTTGTGGTTTGGGATGTATTGCAAAAGCAGTAGATTATGAGGTGCCTTGCAGAGTTTGGCAAAACTCAATTGCAGCTTGCTGGGACCTGGAGGAAGCTATGCTCAATGCTATTCAACAGGCCCTTTGGAAGTCTTTCATGCTGAAGTGGAAGAGCAATGAAATTGTGGTTGATGATGAGATTATGGTCAGAAAGATTACTCTTCTAGGAAACTTCCAAATGCATTGGAAGACTATAACTGAAGACATCTTCCAATTGGCTTCTATTTTCTCTTGCTGCTCTTTTGCTTTTGATTTGAATCTTTTATTAGATAGTTGTTCTAGTCTTGTATTAGATTCAACTATCTTTTCTTGTAACCATGAGTGGTTTGATGGTATACCAAGTTGGATCTAGTAATTAGATTTAGCTCGATTCTTCATTGTGATTAGTGGATCACCCATAAGTACAAACACTTCTGTTTTTGGTGAGTTTTATAGAATCTAACGTTTGAAAAATAAAAAAAAAGAATGTACAGAGAAAGAATTATTGTGAAAAGATTCTCAACAAATAATATTGTTGCCAAGTAATTTCGTTGGCAGTCCACTATCAAAATCATAACATATTAGACACGGACTTACCAAGAAATTACTATCAGAAATTGTTCCAACATATTACCAACGGATAACTAACAAATAGTTTTCAACAGATTATTCTGTTATAAAATCACTAAAAAAATCTCAACATATTAGACACGGACTTACCAACAGTTTACTAACGGGCATTCCCCCAGTGGATCATTAACTATTAATTTTCAAACATTTTATTCTGATGACCATTCACTACCAAAAGCCCACAGATTAGACACGAAATTATGGATATAATATAGTATTTGTTTGTTTTGATATATAATTTATTTAAATAATATTTCATATAATTTTATTAAATTAATTGACATTAGTTATTATTCCAAGAATGAGCAAACTACTAAAATGGTTGAAAAAAGAAAAAATAAAAAACAATTTTGATTTATTTGCACTAGCAAAGTACTTTTTAAAAAAAAAAAAAAAATCCCAGTGTGGGATGGGGGTTTAGGCTACACCCCCGACCTGTGAATATAATGACCCAAAGAGGGCTAAAAAGTCTATGTTCTACATCAATATCGAAGGCACAATGAACAACATCAAAACAGAAAAACAAAAAGTACAAGGAGCACAAAATATCCGATGTGGATAAAAAATCAAGTCCTCATAAATGGTCGTCCTGGTCAGAGTGACCTGGCATGAGGTCCAAAACGCCAAGACTAGTCAGGGTCAGGTGGTGGCGGTCGTCCGAATATGAAGGATGGATACTCTAGCTGGTCCACTCGAATGAGCGTCCGAAGGCGGAGGGGAATGTCCTTAGGCTGAAGGACGCGTCTCTGGGGTATAGATGCCCCCGTGCTAGCTATGAAATCAGCGGGCCGATTCCCCTCTTGAAATATGTGTGAGACCTGGTAATGGATCGAGCGGAGGGTGTCTCTGATGCGCATAAGGGGATGTTGGATCTGACATAAGCCCTGGTGGCCAGATGTCAAAAGTGTGATGACAGCTGCAACATCCATCTCAATCCAGATATGGGAGGAGATCGTGGCGGCAATCTCAAGACCAATCTGGAGCGCCTGAATCTCAGCATCATAACTCGAGGAGGCCCGGAGTGGCCCATGGAAGGCAGATATGAGTGCCTCACCATGATCCCTAATCAGGCCCCCTCCTCCAGCAGCTCCGGTATGTCTGTCGAATGCGCCATCAATGTTTAGCTTAACCCAAGGGGCCTTGGGTTTCAGTCAGACAATGGTCCTGGGTC